AGTTGAAACTTCAAAATAAAACCTAATATCACTCAAATTAGAGAGGGGAACTAAATAGGAGGTAGGAGAGCAGCCTAGTAATTCAACAGGCTGAAATTACATGCCTCCTAATATAACATAAATATTTATATTTTAACATCACAACCATACGTTTGGTCAATTTAGTCCTTTTTATTTTTAGTAAGACATGATCACTAAAACACACGAACTGTAAGAAGAAGAGAAAGAAGGGAGTAAGGAAAAAGTGCAGAAACCTAGGGATGGATGATGCCTGGCAGTGAAAGTCATTTTCAAAGACCATTAAACTAGCAGCTGCTTTACTCAGGGCTCTGATTAAATAAGAATATACATCCTATATTAAATGAGATGTCTGCATGAGTGGGATGGAGTTTAGTCAAAAACATATTGTATGAACTACAAAAAAAGAATCAAACCACAATATACAATTAGGCAACTGACTTCTGGGGGGACAATGGTACATGTGCCTTTTAAGCTGTTAGTGAATAAACACTCAAATTATTTAGGGGAAAAGGTAAGAAGTCAGGAAAAAAAACAAACACCATTTCCAATTTAAACCATAGTTTCAACAAAATGAAACTCTGTTTGCCTATATGAATAGAAAGAACTAAGAAACTGCTGGGAGAAAATTTCGTATCAAACATTCTTTAAAATTCATTCCAGGCACAGGAATGTTATTATACATTTCTTACAATATATTTTATTTATCATTTCTCTGAAATGGGCTAGATTTTATATTAGTAAGAAAGTTTGCTTTACTCTGTCATATCTCTGGTGAGCAGATGCTCTGGCATTAATGTAAATCGTTGATTTAATTTTTAGCTTTCTTGGTTTGCCCCTCACCTATCTAGGAAATTATTTCTCTGGTGATAACTAACACATCATGCTAATGAGAGAATCTAGTGCACAATAGAAAAAAATGTCACTATTAATAATATTTGCATGAAGTTAAATAAAGCAACTGTAAGAGAATGTCAGACAGTGTTCTTTAATAAGACACAGCTTTACAATGAAATTAGGTTGTTAATTGTGTTACATCATTGGGTGAATCCTAAATTACTACATAATGATGCACACAGTCATTTATAATTCTAACTTAGTATTTCACTCATGTCTGAAAAGAGACCTTATTAAGGAATCTACATTTTATTTGCAAAGGTTAAATATACCTTACCAATAATTAAAGGAAAATGCCTCTAGTAACGTAAACGTGTAAAACGTGGGCTACAGCCATTTACCTGCTTCATTTCTGAAAAGATTTCAAAATACATTAGATTTGCATCCCTTGAGGTACCTACAAAGAATTTTATATGCTACTCTCTCAAATACAAAACATTTTAGAAAAACCACCTCTTAAAACCTGATTTAAAAACAAAAAGCAACACTTCTAAAGCAGGCCTTATTTTCTGCTTTTAACAAAAACTTCATGAGGTTAAAATCAGCAAAATAATGTTCTGGACTCCAGGAGATTAACAGAGAAGATGAGTAAAGGGTTTCTGGTCATTCTCGGCCTGTCACTGATCAAAGTAAGCCAAGTAAGGACTCCCTTCACTAAGTCAAGAGTCATGCCCTTTAAGGTTATCAAATATTTGTCTGTATAGAAAAAAAATTATCCCTTTTGAAAAAATCATAATGGAATATGGGAGAAAATGTGGAGAGGCAGAAAAATGCACTCAAATAGTTATATCTGGAACTTTAGGAGAATATCCTTAATTCCACAAAATATAAATTGGCTATCTTTTTGTCAGTATTAGACAGACTGAAGGATTTATGTATAAGCAGATTCAACTTCACTCATACAAAACAAAAGACAAAGATTTTTACATCTCTACCTCCTAATTTACCTATAAAAGACAAACCTAGATTATTAAATTTCAGTGAGACTTTTTCTACTACAAGTTGTGCTGCAGTTAAATATTATTGATGGTAAATTCTCTTTAACTCAGTTTTCATAACCACCAGTCTTCTCTAATACTTAATGAAATGGTCAGGTAAATCTTAAAAGTTTTTATATTATTAAAGAAAACCTTGAAATAAAAATATATCAAATAAAATTTATATCAAAAGCTAAAGCAGTTTTTTTTTCTCAGAAATTACAATCATAATAGAAAACTATTTTTACTGTTAGCAATAAGATATACAGAATTTTGCATACTTGATTAAACTGGGCAAACGTTTACCTGTAGTAAGACAAAAGCTGGCTAATGTTTTATATTGAAACTAATATTCCTTTGAAACTGTTGGCTGCAAGAGATATCAGTTTAATAAGAGTGTCTTTCTTGCGCACACACATACATACATACACACACTCTCTAAATCAGCATTGCTGATGAAATATAGTTAAGTAAAATAAACATGGTAAACATGCACAACACATATTTTTTTAGATTTACACATTGTTAAATTTAAGTTTACACAATATTTATACAAACTAAAATGTTATCCTGAAGAAGAAGAAAAAAACACACACACATGTAAATTCTTACCCTCTCTTACACATTTTCCAAAAATGGCTAGGATGTAAACATATAGTAACCAGAAGAGAAAAAGAGGGAGGAGTTGCTAACTGTATCAAAACCAAAAAATGAAACAAAATATAGTTAAATCACATTTTTTAAATTGTTGATTTCTCCCTTTATTATACAGTTCAATATATAGTATAATTATTATAGTTTTATATAACATAATTTTGCATAAATTACTTTCCTATATTTCTACTCTGTTTATATAGTCACTGAAGCTCACTGTGACACATGCATACACACATGCACACACAAAACAGACCTTAAAATATCTACACAATCAAATAGCTGGATCAAACACGTCATAACATCTTAGTTGTACAAGTTTCTCTGAAAATTTTCAAATTATTTTCCTAATTCTGTCCCATTATTTATATAATTCACTTTTATTTGTATTTTTAAGCTAAAATGTTTTCCACAACTTAATGTCTCTTTAGATTCAAATCTACTTGAAAATGGGCTAGTGCCAAAGAAGCAATCTAACACCATCTATGTGGTTCAATAGCCATTTATCAATTGATCATTATCTCTATCTGGTTTTATTAACTCTTTTCTAGCTAGAGGGAGACCTAAACCAATTTTCCCTTTCAAAACATACACACACACACACACACACACACACACACACACACACACACACACCCTGACCTCCACTAACTCACTCAAAACACTGAAGGTAACATCTAATTTTTAAAGCGTGGCACAAGTTATTTGGTCCTAAGGTCAGTGAAAACACATTGTTTTCCAGCCACAAAAAGAGCCACCCAGGCATGGATATGCTCAGAAGCACACCTCTCAAAGCACACTGCAATGACAAGGAGTATCTCTGGAGGAAATGAACTTGCTAGAATGGGAAACAGCACATACAGAGTTGCTTATTGGGTTTATGTTGATTGCATTTAAACCCCAGCTTACCGTATCAGCAGTAATCAGGGTCCCTCTACAGGATATGTCAAAATACACCTTATTCAAATGCATTTATCCTTTCTAGAATTCTGCGATCAAACTGTTCGCTAGCTATAATGCTACAAAACCCTGGCTCTGAGCACAACATTCTGCAGCTGGATTTCTAAACTAGGGTAGTTTATAGCCTAGCAAATTGTTTTCTTTCCTTTATGATCAATACTTTTAAAAAATCTAAATCAATGCAATAAAATATTTCCTTCTCATGCACTCTTACAAACAAAACAGGGTGTTTTTTTTTTCTTTTTAAAGAAAGCAGGTTTTTTTTTAAATAAGAAACCATATCAATTTCTTAACCGTCATCTGCTCCAAATCCAAGTATTTGTCCGTGACACTTCCGTGCTGAGTGGATGATACTATCACACTAAACTCTGGCTTTGTGCGAAGGGTTTGGTGCAGGCTTTTGAAAAGCAAGACGTTGTCTAGGAGGGAGGCACCAGGGAACTTCCCTCCCTCGCTTGAGCCCAGTCCAAGATGAAAGTTTTCTGGGCTGTTTCCCTCTGCTTCCTCCTCTCACCCTCGCTCCCCCTCGGAGGAGCCGCAGAGCCAGCAATTGTGCAAGAGGAGCCGCCGAGCGCGCAGGGCGCGTATCACGGAGCGCATGGTACGAGCCGCCGGCCCGGTGATTAATGATCAGTAGCCGCTGGCCCCGCACTAACACCTAGGCTTTCCGGGCAGAGCCAGCACACCCCGCCGCCGCTGCCAGCTCGGCCGGACCGAGGAGAGGCTCTGGGGAGGACGCCGGCGAGGCTGCTCCGGAGTGTGAGTGCGCCGGCCGGCCGGCGGGCGAGCGGGAGGGCGGGCGCACGGAGCCGGAGCCGGGGCTGGAGGCTGCGGGGAGCGCTGGAGCGGAGGCAGGCGGGCGGGCGGGCGGGCACCCGCGGCGGGCAGAGGCGCTGGGACCGGCCGGCACAGCCCGCCACGCACCCGCCTCCTCCTCCAGCGACCCTGGACCCTGCGCGCTGGCAGCGATGCCTGCACAGCCTCCTGCCCTCGGGTCGGACCTGGAGCTGCTTCCAGCCCCAGCAAGTCAGCTGCGCTGTGCGGAGGGGACCCTACGTGCTGTCACTGTGTGGCTGGAGAGCCTCCTCTGAGACAGCAGACACTTTGATGAAGTGATCCGTAAAGAGAGAAAAAGATACATCTGTGGGGTTGAGTGGCTTTTAGAAAAAAAAAAAAAATTTTTTTTTAACGCAAAACAAAGAAACTGCCTTCTCTGGACCCAGGTGGTACTGTGAAACTTTGCAACAAATGCCTCTGCTTTCTTTGACTTCAATATCCTTTCCCCCTTTTTTTCTTTTAAGGAGCCCTTGGGGGAACCATGAAGTCACCCTGCCATTCCAGTAACACAGTTATGACAAAATTAGAGCCCAACTAGGAAGTGATCAAATTTTTTTTTGGTACATATTAAGAAAGAAAAACAGCAGAAACAAAAGTGCACATAACAATTCAAGATTTCTTTAAAAAAAAAAATAGTAAAGAAAGAAAGTAACTTAC